CCCCGGCACCCGCCCCGTTCCGCCCCCGCCCACATGCGTCCACGCCCCAGCGCGTCGCTGAGGCTACCTGGCAGCAGCGACAACAATTTCCGCGTAACGCCGCGCTTGGGCTTTGCAAACCGCGCTCGCACGCGTGACACGGTCCCGCTGACCCGCACAACAAAGCCAGGAGCGAGGCCAGATACAGAGAGGTTGAGCAGTTTCCCCGTCACCTAGCCTGTCCGTGGTGACGTCACTTGTGAACCCAGGTCCTCAGTCGGTCCAGATTCTGATATAAAAACTCATTGGACTTCCCAAGGAACGCAGCAAGTCTATAATTCTTGACTCCTGCCTTCTCGCGTGAGTTATCAGTCAGTATCATCCAGCCTGTTTAAATTATTAAATTAAACAAAAGAGACTCTTAGTAAAATAATAATTACACACAAAGAATTTTTGGGAGAGAAAAAAAATAAAAACTAGAAGAAAATAGAAATCTATATCCAGAAGAATCTTATGGAACATTTTGATGTCTTTTCTTCAGTGTGTAGATAGATATTTTTAATGGTCTATTTTGTAACCTACTTTATTTTAGCTTAATATTTCTACATCATTAAAAATTTTCAACAGTATCATTTTGGTGGCTGCATAATATTCCATCCTACGGTTGTACCATAAAGTGGAACCGATTAGTATTACACATTATTTAGTCTACTGTTATTAGTCTAGACAGTGTTAATGTTATTTCTTTAATTATTAATATTATTAATTATTAATATTACAAATGCTGTGATTACTAAGATGAACTTTAGTGTAGATAAACCTTTGCTCTAATAGTGGTTATTTTCTCTGAATAAGTACCTAGAGGAAATCATACTAGGTCAAAGGGAATTTACAGTTCGGTTAAATAATGCCAAAATTACCTCTATTGAGGTATCATCAATCTCTATTCTCACCTGCAATGTATGAGGGTGCCTGTTTCCCAGCACTCTTGCCAACATAAATGTTAATCAAACTTCCACCTTTGTCCGCTCAAGCAGTTAAAAAGAACAGCACCACAGTGAACTTTTAACTTACCCTTGGAAGTGGTTATACCAGTTGACTGAAACACCAGCTATGTTTAAGTGCCTTTTCTTCATAACTCTCTCCAAGCTAATTTTTTAATTAGGATATTTTTAGGCATACAAAAATAGATATAAAAATAAAAGAATCAAACACATCTGTTTGCAATATATTCTTAACAAAACATCTGTTCCTTGCTAGATCCCATACCTGGGCATTTAAGCTCTCTTCCGA